TGTGTAGAGGCATTTGAGGCCTCCTGTAGATGTGTGTACCTGACCCCCTAGTCCCAGTGTTACCCTGGCGCCTATCTCTTATCTGTTTATTCGCTACGCTCGTTGGTCTAAGCTGGGCTGTAGTTGTGGGTGTTGTTTGGTCCGGCAGTCTGATGTTTCCTCTGCCCTCATCTACCCCTTCCCCCGACGAGCCAAGTTTAAAGCCCGCTGGAAGAGGTCCGCCAACCTAGAAGAGAACACATGCTTACCTTTAGGGGAAAGGTGGAGCCTGTCCCACCCCAGCATGTCTCTCGTCGTGATGTGCTGGTCATGGCTGAGGAAGTCAAAGCCCTCCTCGAAGCACCATTCCTGTAGCCGCCAGCTGGTCTCCGCGATGCACGTTTCATGCCAACTGCCTTGGCATGTCTCACATTCACTTATGTTGTCTCACAGTGAAAGTCACTACCCCACAGTCCCAATTTCTGTTAATATGGCTGCTAGTTTCTATAGCCAACAGTTTAACTTGATGACTGAATCATATACTGCTATGTCTTTGGTAATGTTAATCTTTTAAAACTTAGATGTATTAAATATATCTTGTTTATACTATAATCACTCGGCCTTGTAATTAAGCCTTTTGTTATATGCACTGGTTTTAACTAGTTATCAAGTAGGAAAGCCACTAAGCTACAGCAAGAGCTGGAACAAGCAAAGCTGGTGACATTTCTGTGGTAGATCAACAGATCTGTGGTAGACCTGTCAACAGGTTTTCATTCAGTACAGTACATCTGAAGAGACAATGTTTTTTAATCACAGTTGCATGATATAGCATTTTGTTATATGCAAGTTTGCCTACACATCTCCAAATAACAGTTCTAAAACTCTCCCTCCCAACTGAGGGATTTGGGACATGCACAATTGTAGCATTTGTACATGTAACAGGACATTTGCATGCTAAATTGCTTAATTGGACAAGCAATACATTGAAAAAATGGCTCTAAAAATGTTCTTGATACTGAAAGAACAGGCCACCAATGAGAACCAGGGCATTGTGATCACTGGAAATGAGGAGTTTCCTGGGAAGCAGTTGTAGCTGTGAAGAAAATAGATGACCTGGGATTTACTAGTGAGGGGCTGGCCACAATACTGCATAAAAGGTGCACTGCAAATACTCTCTTATTGTATGTGTCTGATTGTACTTTTCATAGTAGGTTTATAGAGAACACGCGCCAACCTGCAAGCCAGCTGACAAATACCTTTGAATTTGTAAGGAAATCCACTTCAAATCTGCTCATACTCTTTGTGACATGGGCAATTGGTGCCTCCTAAGTCAGGGGGCCACTTGCTCCCCCAGCAGACAGTCAGTGACTGGGGGATGGGGGTCCCCTCGTGACTGATCCTGCCGATGGGGGAGGTCCCCCTGTGGCCAATCCCACTGACCTGCAAGTGGCAGGGGTGCACCACTGGCACTTCCAGGTAAGTGCAATTGGCCGCAGGGGGACTGCTTCTCCTGGCGCCTCCACTCCCCAGCCAGTGCTCTCAGGGGAGCAGCAGCACTCTCGCCTGCTCCCCCCGCTCAGGAACACTGGCTGTCAGGCAGTGCACCAGTGCTCTCAGGGGGTGCACATGCATTCCTGGTTCTAGAGGTCAAATGGAATGTTAGGAATTTTCACTGAAATAGATGTGTTGAAAATAATCATGGGAAATATATATGCTTTGCTTATAATTATAGGTATTCAAATTTCAAGAGTTACACTAATCGAATCAGAGTACAGAAATGCACCATCTCTCATCCGTGTCCAAAGCAAAGAGCTAAAAGCTTGAATACCTGCACTAACTTGCTTACAAATAAGCTACAGTGCAATTATTATTTGCTGAAATCATACAGACAATTTTGAATAACAAACACATTGAGAAAATTGCAAGCATTTAGTAGGCAGTTCCCAGAGAGAGAAAGAGATTGAATGTTATTCATTATATGAGTCATTCACCTTGCTGTATTACAGATATGTATCACTGCCAGAAATAGCAGAGGGTATGTGAGGGTATAGTACTTAACTCTTTAGAGTTCTAGCTCTAAAGTTAGAATATTTTAAACTCACACTTAAAAAAAAAAGAGCACTGCACAGTGTCTATGACAATCTCTTTGTGTACATGGTGGTAGCAATTCAGGACCCTCTGTCTTGATATATCGATTCACAAACAGTCTTTAACTTAGGAGGTTTTTAATGGGGAAAATAAATATCGGTGACCAAAAGCCAGTCTCCACATACCTTGCATGTTAGTTTTGCTTCATTTGTTAAATAGTGACCAGATCTTTCCAGGAACTCCTGTAGAACTAGATATCTAGCAATTGAACAATATATTGCACAATAACCTTTCTTTGCGCCCTATTACTAGATCCAACCAATGCTTGTCTTGGGGGGGGGGGGGGGG